ACCTAACCATGGATATATATTAATATTTTATATTTTAAATATAATTTTTAATATGAAAAAGTGAGAAATTTCCCATATTTCTTAGTCTAAAATGTTTTATTTCATATATCTATTTTTTAATAATTGCATTGTAATTTTTAAAATTAAATTAAATTTTTAAATTTAAATCTTTTGAACCGACTGACCTTTTGTGAAAATTGACCCAAACCGATACAACTTGAGTGGGTTGGTTTTCACAAAAGGTCAGTCAGTTTTAGCTGACCAACTCCCCAACCTAACCAAGTCAATTTGACTGGCCAAATAGCCTACGGCTAGACTGAATCAACTAATGAACACTCTTAATTTTAGCTAAATTAATAGTCTTATCTCTGATAAATAAAAATAGTTTAATCTTCAATAATTATTAAAAATTTATAGCAAAAATACACAATTATTGAAAATATATTGATAATAGAAAAATTCAATAATTACAATAGTTACAAAAATACAATAAGTACTAAAAATATATTAACTTAGTGAAAAAACAGTATAATCTCAAATAATAGTTTAATCTCTAATAAATATTGATTAATCAATAAGTTATAACAAAAATACAATAAATAGAATAAGTAAAATAAATTTAATTTAAAAAATTCAATAATAGTAGTTTAATCTCCAATAATTATTGAAAGTTTTCTGTTAAATAACAAAAAAAATGAATTTATAAATAATCATTGAAAATACATATATCACAAAAACAATAAATAATTATTGAAATACAATAAATATTAATTTTAGTATATATAATTATATAGTAAATACAAATTAAGAGTTTACAATTATTATTAATAAATACTAATTTTATTGAAATTTATTTCCTTAAATTATTACTTGATGTAAGTGAAATTAGTTATTTACAATATTATGTAAAATTATTAAATTATTATTAATTTCAATATTATGATATAATTAATTTTCTACTTTTAAGATTTTTTTAAATTTATTACATAATTTCTTTATTTTAACTATTTAAAATCTAGTTACGTTAAATATTTTGTTAGTTAAAATATTTTGTTATTTAAACTCTTAAATAGTATGTAAAATATTTAAATTTTAAAATATTAATTTTTTATTGAATTTAGTTATCCATAAAATCATAATTTATACTATTATTACATAATTTAATTATTAATTTTGTAATATATTAAATTATTATTAATGCCAATATTATGTTATAACTATTTTTCTACTTTGAAGAAATTTTTTAAATTTATTACATCATTCTGTTATTTTGACTTTTTGAAATCTAGTTATGATAAATATTTAAATAATCTATAAGATATTTAAATTTTTTTGTTTTTTGAATTTTGTTTATTTTAATCTGTTACATATTATTAATTTTTTGAAAATCATTTAAATTGATAATCCAGGAAATGTAATTTAAATTGTTAGTACATAATTTCGTGATTTATTTTGTAAAGATATAAAATTATTTTTGTGTTTTGAATAAATATTTTAAAGCTATTATATAATTTTGTTAGAATATTTATCTAATTCTTAAATTTTTTAACCCAAACTTTCTTTAGATAAATATAGATAAGTAGTAAGGGAGAGGATAAATAGGAATTAGAGATAATTTTGGAGAAAGTGGGGGATAGTGGGGGAGGTAGTTTAGGAGAAATTTTAGGAGAAGAGATTATTTAGGTTATGGGAAAGTGCATCTCATTGGTTGTTTAAAAAATGACATGGAATAAAAAAAAATAAAAAGTTCATAAAAAGGAGAAAATTTCTTGACTGCTTTGTTTTAATCTATCTATCTATCTATCTATGTATCTCTCTCTCTCTCTCTCTCTCTCTTTATATATATATATATAAAGATTCTCTTGTGCCTCTCTTTTGAAAATGGACTAAGACATGCCTTATTGGGTGACATCATCAAACATAAACCTCTCCTTCCTTAACAATCCTTTTGCAATTGATATGATGAACAAATAAAAATTTGTAAAAACCTATGTTTGTCCTTATCCAAAAGTATTGAAACCCAATTGTGATCGGTCAATCTCATATGCTATCTGTGTTTTCTTTTTTTTCCTCAATTATATGAGTGATATATAATTTAGTTTTCAGTAAAAAACCAAGAATATTTCTCACAAGTCAAGATATGCAAGAAAATAACAGCTTTAGTAGCTTAATAACTAATGAGTTATGGAGATTTTTGATAAGTATGGTTTTTGAAGAACGATTGGCTATGCCCATAATTACTTTGCAAAACAAAAGAGAATGACCCCAAGCGGTGCCAATCCACTTCATAACTGATGAGTCATGGGGAACAGATGGTTTTTGCCTCATGGGCTGACTAGTAGGCCTACCCGCAGTTGAGTGCTTTCCCTTTCCCTTGTGGTAATTAATCATTTATCATGTCTTTTCTGTAGTATAGATTTTTCTAGTTTTATATGAATTGAAACAACTAAAACAAATCAATATATAACCTAAAAGCAAAAGGGGGTATGGAAACCCCCTTTCCTTTCGCGAAATGGAGTATTTCACTTCACCAAAGGGAATCTTAATGTGCGAATACTATAGCAGTTTGTGTGACATATTTGCTTGCTTTGACATGAGTTCAACACGGTGGTGTGTATGGATGGGTTCCTCCCCCATAGCATCTTTTGTCATGAAACTCTAACCATTAGATTTGGGTGGTTAGGTATGAAGTTTTGTTTAGTGATGTAAACTACGTGAAAGATATGAAAGTTGTGGTTTAATGATATCTTCTTAGTCCATTGATTTGAAAGATAAGTTATTTATAAATTTATTTAGGTGTCGTTTGGCAAGTATTTTTTAGAAGATCTTCTAACAAACTTGATAGTCAAAAGATGATGTGAATTTTTGCATTAAGATCTTAATAGCTTGAAGATCGTTTAGTTAGGGCACATCTTCCGTTGTGAAGATGAACAGAAAAAAGGTGTAAAACACCATTTCGAGCTTCCTAAAAATAATCCAAAATGGGCTTCTAATGTCTTTTTGGGGTTACATAAGCTACCGAACTTCTAAAAAGACAACAACCCACACAAAAAGACGTGCCAAATGAGGCTTTATTAAAACAAAAAGACCTTAAAAGAAAAAGACATTGTCTTATCCGTTGCATATGTTAGTACTTTGAATTTAAAATATTTATTTATTAAAATCAATATATAACCTAAAAATGAAAGGGCATACGGACGCCCTTCTCCTTTTGTGAAATGGAATATTTTGCTTCATTAAAGAGAATCCCAACGTGTGAATACAATAACAGTTTATGTGACATTTGCTTGCTTTGACACGAGTGCAGCTCAATAGTGCGATGATATCTTCTTAATCCATTGATTTGAAAAATATATTATTTATATATTTATTTATTAAAACAAAAAGACCTTGTCTTATTGCCTGCATGTACTTTGAATTGAAAATATTTATTTATTATAATTAATATATAACTTAAAAGTGAATGAGTGTATGAATGCCTCCTTTCCTTTAGTAAAATGGAATATTTTGTTTCACCAAAGGGAATCCCAACATGCAAATACTATAGTAGCTTATGTGACATATTTGTCTGCTTTAACATGAGTGCAATGCGGTGGTGTATGTGGATGGGTTCTTCCCCCAAATCATCTTTTGTCTTGAAATTCCAACCATTAGATTTGGGGGTTAGGTATGAAGTTTTTTTAATGACTTAAGTTATGTAAAAGCTGTGGTTGATGATATCTTCTTAAACTATTGATTTGAATGAAATATATTATTTGTATATTTATTTATAAAAACAAAAGACCTTGTCTTATCAGCTGCATATGCCAGTACTTTGAATTGAAAATATGTATTTATTATGAATGCCCCCTCTCCTTTCATGAAATGGAATATTTTGCTTCACCAAAGGGAATCCCAGTGTACAAATACTGTAGTGGTTCATGTGAATAATTGCTTGCTTTGACACAAGTGCGATGCGGTTGTGCACGTGGATGGGTTCTTCCTCCAAAGTATCTATTGTATGTATTTGGTTCCATTTATGTTTTTTCATTCAAAGTTTGTACTTTATTTGATTGCAAAACCGAAAAAATTAATAATTACAATCTTTTATGACAAATAAGCACCACTAAGAGCCACATTAATGTAACTGAAAAAACGCCTAATCGTTTATGGAAGCTTTAAAATATAACTTCCCCAAATGGTAGGCGTGCATAAAAACCGAAGTCCACTTTTATCATTCTTGATGCATATGGAATAGCATGAGAGAAAAACGAATGAAGTGGCATCCACGTGGCAGCGTTTATTAAATAAACACCCACTAAACCAAACATCCTCATTGTCAAATGGCCTCTCCTTTCGTGAAAGAGAATATTTCACTTCAGCAGTTTGTGTGACATATTTGCTTTCTTTGACACGAGTGCAATGTGATGGTGTGTCCCTCCCCCAAAGCATCTTTTGCCTTGAAACTCCAATTGTTAGATTTGGGGGGTTAGGTATAAAGTTTTGTTCAGTGACATAAGATACGTGAAAGTTGTGGTTGATGATATCTTCTTAATCCATTAATTTGAAAGATATATTATTTATATATTTATTTATTAAAATAAAAAGGCCTTAACTTTAACATAAGTGGTGTTTTAAAAAAAACTTTAGTTCAAGTCATAGTTAAAAGAAAACTTCAACATAAGTTATTTTAGCAATTTTGGGATCTCTTTTGGCCATTTGGGATCTTTTTTGGCCATTTATTAATTTTTTTTCTTATACTTTTCTATTTTTTCTTGGATTTTTAATGTTATATAACATCCTAAAAACATTTTTTATGATTTTTATTATTGTTTAATTTGACTAGTGAGCAATAGTGGAAGATGTATTTTTTTTTTATTTTTACTATTTTTACCTTTGTTAAAATATTATGGTCAAAGCTGACGATCTCAAGATTGTTGGCTTAGGCCTTTAGACCACCGTCCTTGATCTAAGGCGGTGGTCAAGCGTTCGCCCCCTAAGCCACTGCCACCTTAGATCTGAGGCGGTTCGAAATGCGCTAAAGTGGCGGTCAATCAGAACCGCCGGCTTAGCATCAATAAAGCCGACGGTTCGAACCACCGCCTTAGGTTTTGTCAAATGCCGCTTGGGCTAAACTGGCGGTTGGTTGACCGCCGACTTTGATATTGCTTTTTTTTTTATTATTTTTATACTAGGTTAATTGCATCATTTTTTGTACCTACACTTTAATTCTAGCATTCATCACTTTAATACATGTTTAACACAAATCTCATGACAATTGATATATTATAAACAACTTAAATAAAAAATGCAATTTAAAGCAAAATCTATTAATTTACAAAAATAATTGCTATAATATCCAAAACAAATTGTTCAAATACAATATCCAATTAACATATAAAAAAATACAAGGACTTCAGAAACATTCAATTTGTCAAATAATGTAGCACATCTTCCAATGCAAATCCACTTAAACATATAAATTGTTAGAAAATATAAAGTAAACGAGATATTGATAAAAATAAATATTTACCTATGCAAAATATAATGCAATCCTTGTTGGCCTCTTGGATTAAAAGAACAACTATAATATTAACATGCCAAAACGCCCCACGCAATCCTTCCAAATTTAGTGATGGCAATGCAAGCATTGAATATGGCAAGAAAAAACAACAAGAATGTTGTCCAGATGTAAACCCTGCAAAGAGAAATTATCTTAGTAAGATCAATATGGTATATAAAATTCTAAGAACTCAAGTATTGAATTATGAAGAAGTTGCTTCTTATTACCATCCAATCCTAGCTAAGTCTAAGTCCTTTTCCAAATCTACCCTTCCAGTAATAAGATCTGTTAGAATTTAGAGAATAAACATAGAATGTTGGTTCCTCAGCTCAAAAGAAGGGATAGGTGGCACATTATGGGGGCTCAAACCTATCTATGGGCCGGTCCTTTGTCCTTAGAATATATACAAGGCATCACGAGGTAATTTTCATTACCTTGCACCCTAATTTTCATTAGCTTTTCTAGCCCTATTATTAATGATAACTCCAATATATACAATATAAAATATTTTAAATGCATTAGGAAATTTGTCAAGATATACTCCAATAATATTTCATATCAGTACCCATGGAAATGGAAATATGTTGAAATATATAGACATTTTCAACCATGAACAAGATGAGAATGTTGATGGATTAGTGAAAAAGTTAGAAAGAATTAAGTGCATTGAAGAGAACCTAGGAGTAGTTCCAATTAGTGACAGGATGAGTAAAAGTTGACCAAGATGGTTTGATCTGGTGCATATATGACAATAGGAGTAATTTGATACAAGTAGAAGGTTCTAAATGAGCATGGAGAATACCAAGAAAAGCATGGGTTTAAGTGCTGAAAATAATCTAAGGGCGTATGATTTGACATGAAATTTGGCTCCTGATACATAATAATGACAAAAGACGATTCCTGTAACCAATCCTAGAAAGTTGGGGATAAATGATGATCTGAGCTTTGAGGTAGTTGTACAAAACAAAAGATATACCCAATTCTTTCTGAAAATTGAACTACAACATGATTATCATGCCTTAACCAGGAATGCATGTGCAAGCAAGAAAGCATGACACATAAAGATGTGAAAGTAGTACACATACTTGAATGAACAAGTCTTCTGGTATTTGCTTTTAGCTTGTCAATAGCTTCTTCTAAGATAATTTTATAATAGTCATCATTAGAGAAATCCAAATTTAGAATTTAGAGAATAAACATGGAATGCTGGGCAGGGAGCCTACCTCCGTTCTGATACGAGAAGGAGCCCAAGCCCTCCTACATCTGTTTGATGCCACCAAATCCTTGACATGCAAGCAGCTCACATCCAATTTGTGGTTGCTGTAGTTAATCCAATCCTCATAATCCCCATTATCCTCTTGTCAGAGTAAAATGATCTCCCAGTGCTGTTTGCATATGCCGAGGTACCATAATTGAATGACTTCCTAAAACTAGAATCTCCCTTCCCATCCTCCAATTTTTCATCATCAAAATCATCAAGGGAGTAATGGGTATATACAATCAGCACCGTCACTCCTTGTAGAGCACCTGTCCTCACTCCCCTCTTCCTCATGGCATGCCTTCTTAGATCTTTTAGTTGATACATGCTTTGTGAATATTTTTACTTTTCTTAGACCTGCTTTGAGAGCAAAAAAATCATTCCTCTCTGTTGAGATAGATTCTCTAGACCGAGGTGACAGTGGAACCGAAACTATCAATCTTGGTATTGTCTCTGCATGTTCTTGGGTGGTTCTTAATTCCAATAAGCTGAGAGATAACTGTGATAAAAACAAATCTATAAATATAAAGAAAAATGGAAAGTCTAGAAAAATGAGATATAACTGGCAATTAGAAAAAAAAAAAAATATAATCAAAAGCACATACACAAAGAGAGGGTTGAGGATCAACATTGCCACTAAGCGGAATGAGAGGGACATTTATTTCAAGCTCTTTCTCTTCAGCTGCAGAAGCAAATTCAGCAATGTTTAATAATGCTGTACCAACAACTCGAACCTTATTCTTTGGTCCTGGTTTCAAAACCTGAACAAAGAACCAATCAGTTACATTAAATAAGAAAAAAAAAAAAAGAAAATATTTAGCATATCAAAATCAAACAAGAAGAAGTTAACACAGTACCAGAAGCACAAAGTTGCATACAGAAATCTTTTCTTTCATAATCAATGTAAAACATACCAACTGCTAGTAATGCTTCTAGTTTTTATGGGTTAAAAAATGTACATATTTAATGATCATAAACAAGGGGAAAATTTTTCAAAATCCCCAAAACCAAGTTAATCTAATTAAATCCAAATGAAGTCATGCAAAATCAATTTTCTTTTCTTCATTCTTTATTTTCTGTTTAGCAATATTCTCTCTTTTACTTCTTTCCCTTTTTTTTATTGATAAATGAATATAAAGTATTTACAAGCTCCCCTTTTTGACAATTAACACAATGCTTAATCTTTGATAGCAATGAATACTACATGAGATTTAAGTACACCGAATCAGAAAATTTTCAAGTAATATGCTTCACCAGTCTGGGTAGCCAAGTTGGTAAGATTCCAGGTAGAGGACATTTGGACAATCAAATAGAAGATATCAGCAATATTCCAACCATCCAATACTAAACGCAGAAAAAAAAAACCAATTTATTTCATTAATCCATTTTCTGCCAATCATGAAACATATTCACAACAAATCCCAACAATGGTGATCTCAAATACCTAGCAAAAAAGGAAGGTTCTTATATCCAAAAAAGTACAGTAAAGCCGTGATATTCAACCAAAACAATAGAAACTGCAACACATCGAACAGAAGCCTAGAATAGCATCAAAAGGATAGAACTAAATCTAGAAATTGGATATAAATGTCACTAATGCAATATGAAATTCCAGTTACTAAAAACACACAACCAGGAATATGGGTGCCCTAAACATAATCAGAAATTCCAATTAAAATCTATATAAAACACTAACGACGTCCCACTCCAATTGGGTAAAACAAAACTAATGAATTTCTAAGATTAAGAAAAAAGAAAAGAGACAAATCCTAGATAAAAGGTCAGAAGATTAATTTATCTTAAAAATATAAACTTCCATTTCAATGGAAAAATGGCTTTCAAAATATTCAATGGAAAAAATCACTAAATTCATTAATTTGAGAGAAAGAAGCTAAAAAAAAGAAAAAAAAAATCTCTCACATGAAATAACCATACAAAATATTGTCAAAATTGGTATGTTTCTCACAATAGAAGGTATACTTGATCCAAAAAACACTGGAGAAGATGCGAATGACCATTAAAACCTAATCTTCTCTAATGAAAACACAAAGAAGATGGAGAGATCGAAAAAACTGGAAAAAAGAACAATTTGATCAAAGGCAAAATAAGATTGAACAACAAACGCTAATCTTGTTTCATTGAAACCCCACAAAAATGGAAAAGGGACTAAAAAAAAAGAGTAGAGAAGGGGAAAAACAAAGACTGACAGAATAGTAGAAGAGAGAAACTCAACCAGTTAGTGTTGTTCGATCAAAAGCTAAGAGAAACTCAACCGGTTATGGACAGTAGGAGAGAGAGAGGGGGGCGGAGAGATTACCTATTGACTCCGATGTCGTTATTGGATGCCATCCGGTGGTGAAAGGTCTGAAAGACAGAGAGTGCACGCAAGAGGGAGAGAGAGAGCAAGGAGAGAACTCAATGTTCGAGCCAATATTGAAACCCTATTCAGGAAAGTTTCAGAGATTGAGACGAGAGAGAGCAAAAGAGACAAAGGGAATAAAGAGAGAAAGAAATGAGATTACCTAACACCGGTGTCGTCATTGGGTGCCGACCGGTTGTCACTGTGGTAAGAGGTCGACTATTATCAGTATCAACAACAGAGTAGAAAGACGAGAGAAACGAGACAGAGGACGTGAGTTGCAGAAATAAAAAGAAGATGAAACGCGGGAATGCAAAGTTTTGGCATTTTAGGTTTTAGACCGGCTCAAATCTGGTTCAAACAAATAAAACGTCGTGCTAGGTGCCATTGTGCCAAAGACCGCCGCTTAGGTTTTAATTTAGTTTAGCAAGCGGCAGTCTTTTTTAGAACGCCGGCTCTAAACCGCCGCCTTAACCTGTTTTTCTTGTAATGGTGAACTTAGATCAATTAATTAATTTATATGTTTTAGTATTCTTTCTAATATTACTAGTAGCTTGATTTTGATATCTTTTCACTATTTTCTAATTTTTACCTTTATTAAAATATATTTAATTTAATCAACTACACTTGGATCAATTAATTAATTATGCTATACATGAATCAAAATAGAGAGAGAGAGGGTTATGTGGGACACGATGAATCAATGCGGCCTAGTATCAAGAAAGAGAAGAAAAGGGGTTGTGTAGGGCTTGATGGGGCCAGATGTAAGAGAAAGAGGGGTTATGTGGGACCTGATGGGGCTTGGTGTTAGAGAGAGAGGCTATGTGGAACCCAATGGGCTTGATGTTGGAGAGAGATAGGGTTGTGTGGGATCCAGTGAGGGCCAATGTCATGAGAAAGAGAGAAAGAAAGTGGTTATGTGGGACTCGATGTAATAATGAGAGAGAGAGGTTTAAAATGACAAATAAAAACTAGCGAGATACAATAACCAACTAGCCCTATCACCTAAAAGGATCGTTTTTATTGAAGATATTGAATCCATGAGCACAGTTCAATTGATTTGTCCTGTCTCCTCACAACCACTTGATATAGTTAACTTAATTATTTAGATTAAATTAATTTATTTAATGATTTAAAAATAAGTTTAAAAATATAATTATTAACTCTAAAATTAATTAACAAGATCTTTAAAAAATACATTAAAATGAATTTAATTTATTTGACATAACCTATATTACTTATAAAACTTCAAATAGGGGGTCTTGGGCCTCTTGGCTTTACCGGACAACTTTAGCCCTATATCTTGAGGTCTCTAGAGGGTATATATGTAATTACAATTTGATAAAATGCTTTACATTAATTGAAGCAATTGAATGGCTTCGGTATTTGGGTAAGAAATAGTTAACTAAAGAAAATGGAGAGGTAGCGTATAACCTATAACTTATTGGTGGCGTTACTTTTGAATGGCAAAGGGGGTTGGTCGTTGCTTCCTTCACCTCAAAGATGAAAAGCGACCCATCTGGTTTCCATACGTATTTCTTTCTCCTAAATTTTCACAAGAGATCAGAAGAAAACAAAAACCCATCTTTGCAATTGTGGATCCTTTACTCAATTTTTTGTTTTTCTTTTGCATTGCACATTTTAATGAAAATTTCTATTTTTCTCCTCATAGACAATGCTCTTGTCACAATAACATTCCTTTACTCAATGCTCTTCACAATCTTCCTTGGGATTCAAGGCTGTTCATCGATACTTAGATTATCGTCTAAGGTATTGTAGTTTCCATTGATCTATTTTACTCCTTTTTGCTTTATCTTGACACTATTTTTTGTTGAAGTGATGATGAATTATCATAGTGCACATGTAATTTGAAGTGGGTCTTTCTATTTTCCAGTTTCTTGTTCTTTAGTTTTAACTGTTTTTGCACGTGAATTTCTTCAATGTTTTGTCTTCTTTTCAGGTCTTTGATGTTCAAGTGGAATTCGTTTGCATTTTGTGATGGGGGTATTTAATTTAAGTTCTAAAATCCTGTGATCAGGCTCAATTGATGTGCATTATATTGGGAGTAGTGATGGATATGTTCCCTTTTGAACTTTTCCGTTTCAGCAAGAATAAACTGGAAATAATATTTGAATTGCAACTCTTTGTTTCTTCTCTTTTCCAGTTCCTTTAGACATAATTTCATGTTTCTCCTTATGACCTTGTGGCTTTATATTTTATACACATTCTTATTGATTTCCTAGTCAATTCATATATTTCTTGTTTAAATCATAACGAGTCATTGCCTCTGGTAGTGTTTATTATGTAGCTTTCTCAAATCAACAGAGAGATATGAGGATAATTTACCTGAATGTATGATCCTCTTATTTCCATTCTTTTCATTGGGTTTATATGACATTTTGCAACATATTCATTTCTTTGCTACCATATCCCCTAGCCCTTGCACTATGAATGCTTAGTTACAAAATAAAAATATCTATCCAAAACTAACAATTGCATGCAAGGTTCACTCTACAATTAATAACATTTATTTGTTTAACCTACCAAACAAGTATATTAAATTGCCTAGGTTATTATTGAACTACACCTAATTACAAATAATTCACAATATTGTCTTAGGAGTTTGGAGGGTATATTCTTCAATTGCATGAAAGTAATCTATGGCCCAAGTAATCACCAGATGCCCAGTTTCAAACTTTCAGTTAATCAGAGTATGATACGGAATGGGATCTAGGAACTACAAGGCATAACAAGAGAAATGTTGGAATTACAATTTTAAACCTTTAATATCAATAAATGCTAGAGAGATACCTGTTTTTGGGTCTTGGATTTGGAGAACAAGGTACTGGCGCTTTGGAGTTCAGAGAGGAAGGAGTTCTTCGGCTTCATTAGAACCATTCAAAAACAAGTAGGCTTCATAGCCAAGCCATTCAAAAATAAACAAAAATGAGAATGAGGAGTTGTCCTGTATTGCCAGTTGTTTTCTTGCCGCCGGTTGATTGCACGTCGTCAGACGTCCGATGCACAGGGGTTTCGTCGGTGATTTGGTCACTGGGTAAGGCTAGGGCTCAGATGAGAGAGCATGGGAGGGGAGTTCGAATGAAGCTTCCAAATCTTATTTTGGATTTTTGTCTGTTAGTGGCCGGTTCAACCAGTTGAATGGCTGTTAACGGTGAATGCTCGGTTAATTTATTTTCAAGACCCATGAGCTAATGTGTTTGCCTCTCATTGGTGGGTGCACTTGTCTAGTGCACCCATGGGTGCATAGAACGCGGACTCCTCCACTCCCTTACAACTCCAAGCTGACACAAACATGTAGAGGGAGCGAGACAAATTCTCGCAGCTCTTTTCTTCTTCTTTAATGGCTCAGATTCCAAACTTGGAAACTTCTCTCAGTCTACTCAGAAAAGGCAAACATTCTCAACAATGTAAGTTCTGATTCAATTTACACCTTTTTTTCTCCTCCGAATTGATTTTACCTTTCCAATCTTAATGTTTCTTTGTGGTTTTTAATTATAGCAATTTTTAAAAACCGACCGGAATCGCTTTGCCCATTTCAATTAAAAAATAAAAAGGAATCATTTGATCCGAACGGTCTGAACCGATCAACCTGTTCAACGAACTGATGACCCGTAACCTGGAGGGAAAAGCAGATCGGCCTTCAGATTGGTTTTTAAAACATTATTTGGAATAGAGCCAATATCGGCTTTAGTGCTCACACCATTCGCAAAGCCCCTTGCAGTCTTACATCGGCAATATCTCCCTAAGTGTGAGTACGGTGTTATTCAGCCAGCCACACAAAACAAGCATACAGACCCAAGAAAACCGAAAGGGATCTCAGTCTTATAATCCAGGCTCGGATCTGTTACGGCCCACTAGTTATTCCCACGTCTCTACTCACAGGGCATTGCAGTTGTGCATTAGGAATACTTTAAGATAATGAGACATCAACGATAGATGTAATACAAGATCAGGATGTGCTGTGGGGCGCCCCCTTGTGGGGTGAAGATGTGATCTCTCTTTTTTTTGTCATTACGGAGAGAGGTTCCCAGCACACAGTGGTGGCGTCTTAGTAATGTGAAATCATTTTGTGGGTAGCAGATCCGAATGCAGATAATCCATCTTAAGAATTAGAAGACAAGAACGCAAATCTGGAGCTTCTAAAATTGTATTTGGATTCAACTTTTTCCTTTCCTTGTTTGTATGAAACACGATCACGTACAAACAAAATACTGAAAGTCTCCTTGGTCTCATAGGAATCTAGAGTAGATGTTAACAGTCAACCCAATCCTATAAATTTCTTTACACCTCCAATTAAGGTGTAGTATTGTTAACGTTTTTCTCTAAAACCTTCTGATTCTCTGTTAGTTGCCTGCTTTCCTGCCGTCTCACCAAGCCATGGCGACCTTCTTTTCTGTCCCTGTACGAGTAGTTTCTTTGTTGCTCATCTTTCTTCACGTCGAAGCCAGCAACAATAGTGGCTTCAATGTCCAACTTATCCACCGTGACTCCCCTGCCTCTCCATTCTACAACCATCCTCAGAGCCCTTCACAATGCCTCAATTATAAGCTTTCCATCAACCATTCTTCTGCTCCTTTGGTGAACAAAACCATTCGTTCTATGGTAATTCCAAACAAGTTCGAGTATCTGCTGAAACTCTCTATCGGCACTCCTCCGGTGGAGTTTTTTGCCGTCGCCGACACTGGAAGCGATCTGACATGGATTCAGTGCAAACCTTGCAAGAGTTGTTTCAAACAAATTGCACCCATCTACGACCCCAACAAGTCTTCATCCTACAGAGATTTATCTTGTCAGTCCGAAGCTTGTCAAGCTGTAGATCCATCCTTCTGCGATGCTGATCGCAGATGCCAATATTCCTATATCTATGAAGACGGTTCTTTCAGCAATGGAGTTCTAGCCTTAGAGACCCTTACATTGCAATCCTCTGGCGCCCAGAATATCTCCATACCCAAGTTTGTGATTGGTTGTGGGCACAATAACAGTGGGTTCGACGGTCACGACACAGGACTGGTTGGATTAGGACTAGGAACTGGGCCCTATTCATTCATATCCCAGTTAAATCCATTGATCGAGGGCAAGTTCTCCTACTGCTTGGTTCCAGTACAGGAAGGAAAATTGAGCAGCTTCATGAAATTCGGTTCGGACGCCATTGTTAAGTACAGTAATACTGTTTCAACACCATTGATGTCACCGGCGATGTCATATTACGTTCAGCTAAATGGGATCAGCGTTCAAAATCAAATGCTTAAGGTGGTGACGAACGGTGTTGATCCGACTGCCGGAAACATTGTTATTGATACGGGCACTACGTACACCTTCATAAATCGCCAAACATACCAACAATTGGTTGCAGTGTTAACGAAGGTGATCGGTCTTCCGGTTGTGCAAGATCCATCAGGAGAATCAGAACTGTGTTACAAGACTGAAACACTGGACGGCCTTCCTGCAATAACCTTTCACTTCTTGAATGCGGATTTGGTTCTCCCCCCACTTAATACCTTCGCTAAACGTCAGGGGGGTCCTGTTTGCCTGACAATATTGCCTGATGATGAAGAGCAAATTTTTGGTTGTCTAGCACAGCAGAACTTCAACATTGCATACGACCTTGAAGAAAAGATGGTATTCTTTGCTCCTTCTACATGCGGTGCTCCTAGGGTTCTATTTGCATTCTCATTCTATCTCGTGCTTGCTCTTGTATTATTCCTCATGTATAATAATTAGGGTTTTGGGCCCCTCTAATCTTATTAGAATTTCTTAGGGATGGCAATTTCTACCTTACCACTCTAGTGGGTGATCACCCCTTTTAAGCAGTTTTTTTTTTTCTTGAAAAACGGATATTGGGGTCATGACAGGTTTTAGGATTTTTAGGATTTTACAATGGTATGCGAATGAGTAGACTATTTATCAAGCTAAACCCAATTCTCCCATGTTGCAAGGCACATGAACTTATGTATTGGTGTTGAATTTAATAATATTTTGAATTTCATGTGAAGGATAATTGATAGTGTATGAATTTGTTTACATGCCCTAGTTATGTTTGGAAATTTTGATGTTTGTTCATATTATTTTACTTGTTTATTACGTGTGTGTACAAGAAATAATAGAAAATTAGATATGGATTTTGGACTCAATTGGCCTCATCCTCAAATACGTAAAGGATAGGGTTGGGGAGGGTTTTGTGTTTTCATGTATCAAGGATTTGGATTCTAAAAATCCAACCAACTAACATTTTGGATAAAGTACAGGTTGGGAGGGAGCTGGGTGGGTTTTAAATTTACAAAACCCTTCCCAAAACTGCCCCATTGTCATCAATTTCTGTTTAAGCATCCAAGTGTGTTTTAATATAATTTTTATTTTTTAATTTTCCCAACATTGTTTCCTATATGATTTTTTTTTCTCTCAGTAAAAGGATCCACTAAAAAACATCACGGATACATTTGAGTCCCCTTTTTACAAATTTCCAAAAAGCATGTAGCTAAGTATGTAGGGGAGTAAGTACTATTTACATAAATGTTTTTAAGCCTAACTCTCTTTGTAAATTCATGAGCTGGCTTAACTGTTTCCTTGTTTACATACATCACTTTCATATTTTCAAAAAGTAAAAGCAATTCAAATATATGATCATACAGTGCTTGCAACTCCCAAGTGATGTTTTTTTCGGCTCCTTCTATCTTCAAAAGAACTTCTATTACATCTGATAGCAAAAAACCTGCTTTGAAACCCATACAAAAAAACTTACGTAAACCTCTTACTATTTCCCAAAACTCAGCTGCTGCTGATGATCTTGCCATGCACGGTTATCCTTCTACAATGAGAAGAGGAGAACTGTGTAAGAACATAAAGAGTCCAATGGATGCATTTTGTGTGGAGGTGCTCCATGAACCATCCACTAGGATGATCGGAAGATCTGAGTGAAGAATCTGTTGCAAGTCCCAATCTATATGCAGTTGAATTGAATGCGATTTTTGAAGCTTAATGTCTTTAATGGTGTAGTAGTTACCCACCCTACGCAGGATCTGTATAGGGTCTGGTTTCCCATTATTAAAGTTTTGATCATTTCTCACATCCCATATACTTCTGAAGATTGCACAGGCTTTTGCAAGATAAAGTGTACTTTAAGGCTTTGTTCTGTATATGATTATTGTGATGCCACCACCATTCTATCAGATCATCTTGACCAGAGTTCAGAAAGGCCTCCGATACGAGTCCAACTTAGGCCTGCATCCAAACGACCCTTGATAGAGGGCATTCCAAGAAGAGGTGTTCCTGGGTTTTTGGAGATGCCTTACAAAAAGTACACCAAGTATATTCTCTTCTTTTGTAGATCCATATTTCTGTTTTTGTTCGAACAACTTTATGGAGGTACTTCCACATAAAACTTGACATCTATAGGAGCATGGACTCATCCAGATTCTAGACCATCTCACTATACTTGTTTGAATTTGAAATGTGGTTACTAAGAGAGAATGATAAGCCTAATTCATAGAGAATTCTCCATTCTTTGAGTCTTTCTAGAGAAGACTATCAGGTTGCTATTGAGTCCTTAGGGGGATGGTAAGGATTGCTTCCACACTTCTATCATCAAAAGAGTTATAAAGGAGATTAACAATCCAGGTTAAATTTTCTGTGATTAACTCACAGAATTTTAGATGTAGAGGTTCTAAGCTCTCAACTCTTCTTGTTGGGACATTATTCTCTAGTTGAGGGACCTAGGGATCTAGGAATGCCGAGATAGATCTCCCATCTCCAAGCTTCTAGAAAAAATGAGATTTCAGCTCATCTTTTAATTTGATAATACTCTTCCACCATCCCGAGTTTGAGGCTTTAGCTTTCAAGTCAAAGAAACATTTTTCTTTGACATATTTTGCTTCTAGTTGCTGGGCCCAAAGACTGTCCCTAAGATTTAGTAGTCTCCAGAGTGACTTCAGCAGTAAAGCTTTATTCGTTAAAGAGAATCTCCTTATCCCTAGCCCTCCTAGGGTTTTGGGGGAGTAGATTGTAATCCACTTTATGTTGTAGTTTGTAGCTGTTTTGAATCTTCCTGACCACCAAAAATTTTTTTGTGGTTTATCCATTTTCTTGCATAAGCCCATGGGAAGGTAATTTGTTTGCATAATGTACAAAGGGATACTTTGGGTGACTACTTTGATGAGAGTGGTTCGACCAGCTTGGGAAAGGGTTTTTGCTTGCCAAAGTTCTATCTTTTGGGAGATACTTTCAGCAAGATGTTTGTGGGTGTTTCTCTTTCCACCTTCTTCTTCTGTTAACTAAGTCCCAAGATATTTGGGGTTGTAACCTATTATTTTCATTTTTATTACTCTTCTTAGCAACTTTTGGTGAATTTTGTAAAATTTTTTGCTAAACATAACCCCAGATTTTGCAAAGCTTATGTGCTGTCCCGAGATTTGCTCAAATAACCTGAGGGTGGCTTTGATGTAATGAAAAGATTTAGGGTCAGCTTTGCAAAATATGAAGTAGTCATCTACAGATAAAAGATGAGTGGTGGGCTCTAAGTTTTTTGCAAGTTTGATTCCTTGGAGTTTTGAGAGACTTTCTTCTCTACGTAGCAGGGCTGAGAGGGTTTGCATACCAATAATGAAAAGGTAGGGAGAGAGGGGGTCTCATTGTCTTAATCCTCTTTTGGTGGTAAACAACTCATAGGAGGACCCGTTGAGCTTTATTGAGAAGGATGGGGTAGAAATGCATTGTCAGATTAGTTGACACCATGTTGTTGGAAAGCCCATATTTTTCATAGTTTCTATGAGGAACCTCCAACCCATTTTATCAAAAGCTTTAGCCATATCAATTTTCAAAGCTGCCCATTTCCCTTTTCCCCTATGAGTTCTCAGTTTGTAAATGATTTCTTTGGCAAGAATGATGTTATCTGTAATGCTTCTGCCTTCGATAAAAGCTGCTTGATTTTGTTGGACTAGAGCTAGGAGCAGGGGTTTTATTTTATTGGCCAGGACTTTTGCTAGGATTTTGTAAAGTACATTGCTTAAGCTGATTGGTCTAAAGTGTTATGTTTTTTTTGCACCTCTCTGTTTTGGTATGAAGGCAAGGTTGGTATGGTTCACTTGTTTTAGCAGTTTTTTCGAGTGAAAGAAGTTTTGGATCATATTTGTGATATCATCCCCTACCAGATTCCAGTAGTGTTGGAAAAAGAAAGCTGTGTAGCCATCCCGACCTAGGGCTTTGTGAGGGTTCATTTGGAATAAGGCTTGCTGAACTTCTTTATTTATTTATTTATTTATTTTTTTTTGGGGGGGGGGGTGTTAGAAGATGGTGACTCTCTTCAGTAGAGTTTTGGTTGAAATGGAACCCTTCTAAGAGGGTTGGGTTAGAATTTTCTTCAAGTCCTAAACTATTTAGGAAATGGCTTTTAAGGAGGTTTGCTATGGCCTTTGGATCAGTGGCCCAACTATCTTGGTTTTCTTTTAGACATTCAATTGCAAACCATCTCCTTCCTAATTTTGTTTGATGGTGAAAGAATTTTGTATTTCTATCCCCTTCTAAGAGCCAAAGTTCTCTAGATTTTAGCCTCCATAATTGCTCCTCAACAAGGAGCCATTTATTGTACTTGGCTTCCAAATCTTCTAGTTTGTTGGTTTCTTCTTGATTTGACTGAGCTAGTATAATTGCTTTCTCCAGTTCTACTAGATCTTTGCTTATATCACATAGGTGGTCTTATTCTAGGCTTTGAAATGGTTCTTTAGGGATTTAAGCCTAGTTGTAATTGAATGGGCTCTAGAGCCATCAATTGCTTGGTTCTAATTTCTGCTACCATTTTGTCACAGTCCTTATGATGAACCCACATTGGTAAGAAATGGAACTATTTTTTCCCTTCTGATGGGCCAAGCTTGGTATTGAGCAGAATTGGGGAGTGATCAGAGTTTATAGCTGGCAAAGTTGATAATTTGGTTTATGGGGACCAAGTTAGCCATTCTACACTGGCAAAGCCTCTATCTAGTCTTTCCTTCACCCATTTTCTTCCATGTTGTTTATTTGTCCAAGTAAAGTAGGGTCCTGAGTATCCCAGGTCTGAGAGAGCAAAATGGTCAATCAAGTTTCTGAGGTGTTGAGAAGTTCTAATTCTGTCACTGGGTCTAGCATAGTCCTCCGAATAGACCATGTCATTTAGATCACCTAAGAGTAGCTGAGGAGTCCCTTTTAGGTATGATTTTGAAGTTATAAGGTATTCCCAGAAAGCAGCTCTATCCCCACAAATAGGATTACCATATAGGAGGAGTATGTTCCAAGGGACAACTAAAGTACTACCAATCCCAGTTAACTCTATAAACCTCTGTGAGCTGTCAACTACTGTAATATTTAGGTTGTCCTTCCAAGTACATAGTAATCCCCCACTCAGGCCCACTGATCCTACAGTTTTATAATTATAGTATCCTAGGGATTTCAAGCACTTCATGGCCTCTTCATCTGACATCTTTGTCTTAGCAAGAAATAGGATGTCAGGATTTTGAGACTTGCACCATCTCCTAATAGTTCTTTGTAATTCCTTGTGTTTCCCTCCCCTTACATTCAAAGCCAAGATTTTCATATTGTTTAGCACTAAGTTGAAATAGTAGGGCAAGTAAAGTAAATCCAGGTAATCCAAAGCAGAGAAGTACAGATTCATTTGGATAAAAATAATGTATAACAGAGAATATAAATAAATGAATACATGAATTACAAGAGTTGTTAAGGATGCAACTTGTTGCTGC